GGCGAGGGGCGGCGGGGCCGGCAGACAACACACATGTGCTCTGAATACGTCACTCGCAAGACGTCACACTCCGAGAAGAGGGAAAGGAGGCCCCCACCCCGGCGGGGAAAAGGGGAGAGACGCGTGGCGTGGCGGGGCGTGGCGGGGCGTGGCGGGGCGCGGCGAGGCGGGGCGCGGCGAGGTGCGGCGGGGCCGGCGGGCGGCTCATGTCGAGGAACTCCCGCTGCAGCCGCGGCCGGCGGCTATTTAAGCAGCGGTCCGCGGGCGTGGACCGCTAGTATAGAGGCAGCATCGCGAGCGGACCGCTTATTGGATCGGCAGCAAACAACCCGAGGAGCGCGACTTCGCGAGTTAGTTGTGTTGAGTGAGAGTGTGAACTTTAGTGGTGACTCATCTGGTGAACTGTGGTGGTTCTGGATTATAAGAGTGCCGTCTAGGGGTGAATCATCATGAAGCAGTTTCTGGACGTCGTCAACGCCGTCACCCTCAACCAATTGCATGGAGACAAAATGAGGTAAGCAATCAGAAAACATGATTTCCTACCTTGTATGTAAGTAGTTACTACAGTTGGGTAGCCCAGGTGAAGACGTCAAAACAATCCGAAATAGCGTCGAAAGATGTAAACGGTAACATGATAATTTTGTCACCAAAAAAAAAAAAAATACACGAAAAGATTGTAATGGAAACAAATTTTATGTGACTTAGCATAGCACACAGAAGAGTCTCTTCTAAAGTAAAGTATAAAATCAAGAAAATTGTCTAATTCTATCGCAAAATGTGTGAACCACGATGAACTTGATTCGAACCGGCTTTTCTGAGCACAAGTCCGACCGCGTCCGTGAGTTTTGACTCAAAGGTCGCTAGCCTCCCTTTGCGTTGGCGGCGGATGGCCTGAGGCAGTATTATCGGCAAAGATCTGAGACGGACTGTGTGGCATGCAAAGTACAGTATCGTTGCCGCCTCACAACCCCCTTCCCCCTGCTCCTGCTACCTCTCTCGCGCGCGGGAAATATACGCACACACAAACTCACAAGAGTAAACGCAAAAATTTTTCGCGGAAGGTTGCCAAGGGGCAAAAGCGGCCTGGGGTCACGCACACCGCGCTTTATTCTGAGCTGCGCGTTCTATTCCAGATACTACTTCGCCTTGAGTGCCCCGGTGCAGCGACGCCCCCCGCGGTGCAGCGCCAACCCCCCGCGGTGAACACCTGCATCATGCATGATGTCACTCAGTATTTTTGCGGCGACACTCACATGTGCTGCCCCCCCCCCCCCCCCTTCCACCATTTTTCCCCTCGAGAGACGGTCGGGAATGGGGAGCGGGGGGCCGGGGCTAGTCGCGAACGGCAGGGACGAGGAAACAAAAAGAAATGCAAAACAAAATAATAATGTCGGCAAGCGATTTGCATTTCATCCGCATTAAAAGAGAAAAGGAAAACGAGAGATTTTTAGATCTAAACGCAATCGAGCGAGGCTATAGAGTATACCGAAAGAATGAGACAAACGAAACTGGAATAGCATTTCCATTTTGAGCGACACCAGCGCACGCGGCTCCCCACCGGTCGCCAGACATGCTCCTAAATCCCTGCTCCACTCTTGAGCGGCGGTAGGGATTAACTGACGTCCGGACCAGTTGGCAAACAGGGAAGCACACTGCGTAGTTGTAGCGCCCGCAATGGCCAATGGAGAAAAGGAGAGAGATGGGGGAGGGAGACAGGGAGGAGACAGGGGAGGGAGACAGCAGGGAGGAGACAGGGGAGGGAGACAGGGGAGGGAGACAGCAGGGAGGAGACAGGGGAGGGAGACAGGGGAGGGAGACAGGGGAGGGAGGGAGGGAGGGAGAGAGAGAGTTAGCAGCACGCACCACTCTGCTAAAGCAAGCAAGCAGGCTCCAAACCTTCTTCAATCCATGAACCGCCTTGAGTGGTTCAGCTGAAGCCCACTGGAGCGGACAACCCCGCCAACAAAGCTAGCCGAAACTTATCAAAATAATTCACTGGTAATTTTATGACACAAAACCTTTACATTCTAAAAGAATGGCGAATGCATTGTGATTTTAAAACGGTTGTGTCCGGCAGAACAAAAAAGAGCCACATCGTGTCATCACTTTCCGAAAATCATAAAACAATTAAAGTCCTGAACATTAAGGAGCATTTTGCACAACGGGATTCCTGGGAAACGTTTTCGGTAAATCGAAATAGTGTTTTAACCGCGATAGTAGCGCAGCCATGATGATTGAGAGGGTTCGAAAGAGTGGAGTGAGGGATGGGAGATGAGGTATACCCATCCTCTCCTCTGAGCGAGGCGCTAGTGGAGTGGTGGTGGCGGCGCCCCGGCCGTGCCCCGGCCGTGCCCCGTGGGCCCGCCGGCCCGGGGACCAGAGAGAGCTCTTAGCTGTGGCCACATCCTAATCCACTAACCCTGTCCGCCGGCTCCGCCCAGGCCTTTCAGTTCAGCCCGCCCCAGCCGAGCAACACGTGCAGGGCCGGCGAGCTTCACGTGCAGGAGTGCTGCACTATGCTCGTGCCTTGCACGTGCAGCGCGGCGCAAAGCTCGAAATAACCCACGCGCATCCCGCGGGTGCATCCGGCCGGCTGCAAAGAGCCCGTGTATATATCATTACGCTGCGCTTTGAGTATCGCTTCCCTCTGAGGATGCGCCGACCCGACACCATACCGCACCACTCGGCGCGCTCCACTTAATCCCGTTGTCCCCGACCAGGAAAGCCCCAAGGACAGAGCCCCCGCCTCATGTG